TTGCCCCTCTTCCAGGCCAGCTCTCTGCTGTGGCCAGGGAGTGCAGTGGAGGATGGCCCAAGTACTTGGGCCCCGCACCCCTTGGGAGACCAGGAGAAGCACCTGGCTCCTGGCTTCGGATCAGCGTGGTGCGCCGGCCGCGGCGGCCATTGGGGGTGAACCAACGGCAAAGGAAGACCTTTCTGTCTGTCTCTCTCACTGTCCACTCTGCCTGTCAAAAAAAAAAAAATGGTGTTGAAGGATCCCCGTAGCCCCGCATGCATGGTGCGGAGATGTCACTCACTGGGCGCCTTTGTATATCGGCCCAGAGACAGCTCCTTGATCACCAGTTTGTCTACCTCTGGGTTGATGGGAGGCGAGACAAAATGAGGCCTTTGGGTTTCCTAAATAGCACCTCTTCCCATTTCACAGAGTCACATACAGAAGTCTTTTCCCATAGAAGAGGATTTAAAAAGAAAAAAAAAAAACTCACAGGGTTGTTTGTTTATAAGGCAAACCGAGCACAAACTCAAACTGTTATATCATTCTGTACTCAACAGTCTGGTACCACATAGCTGCAGTAAAAAGACCCCGATCTGATTGTGGCAGTCAAGTGACAAATCTCTCTGATCAGAAAAGGAGGCAAGACAAGCAGCTGGAAGCCTGGCTCCGCAGCCACGTGGCTTTGATCGCGGGGAAAGTGGATATTAGTGCAGACAGCAACCCATAGGTCTTGATTAGTCCATTTAAACCGGTGACTGATTTCCCTGTCTGTACAAGCACGACAAAGTCCGGAAGTGCTGGGCTGAGCTTTAAACAACTGTCTTCATAGAGAAAACTTGGTTGCTCAAGGGGAAGAGTGCTACGCCAGTCTGAAGACAAATGTCTTCTACGAATACTGGCGTCTTACTTGGAAATCACAGGAAGCTAATCACTCAAGTCTTAAATGAGGTCCCTTTAATGGACAGTGGCAAATCAGTCCACGCGAGGGCCAACACGTTCTTGACTAAAGATTTTCTTACTTTGCCCCAAACAACGCCACCACCTACAAGGCTGTCGACAGCTATTTCCTAGACTGGAGCCTCCAGACTACAGAGTGGTTGAATCCGTTAGGTGGAAGTTCAAACTCATAAACTAACTCCTTCATTTAAGTCCATGGGCGCTTGTCTTCTAGTTCTAGGAGGGCAACCAAAATTTGGCTACCGTGGTTTTTTGTACTTTTTGACCAGTAAATGTAAACACAGCATGAGTAAAACACTGACTCCGTGGAAGGTGTGGTGGCGCTAGCAGACCCGGATGTGCTGGGGGACAGGAATTGCCACGGCTCTCAACTTTTCTGGGACAATCTTGGGTAATTCCTGTTGTTCCAGAGTCTCATCGGGCTCGCAGTTGTCACTTGCCAAAGTTCCCACATGGGTGATGAGTGACAGCCTCACTCTAAGGGAGATCACTTCTCTAGTCCCAGGTAGTGTTTGATGGAAGTGATGTGCATGGGGCCTCTCATCCTGCATAAAGGAAGACTGTGCTTGCATGAGTGGGCTGAGTCGAGAGAAAGATGGGGTTAAGGACCCAGCCTTGGGTCTTTTTCCTCTATAGGGACAACACCTTGAGGCTTCCAAAAGTTGAGTGAGAGGCTGACGGACTGTGCCAGTGAGGGACCTTGTGAGAGCCAGGCAGAAGGACAGTCTTCCAACTGCTGTGCCCAACACACAGGCGGCACCTGTTGGAGACCAGGGAGGTGCAGGGGCCCGAGTGCCTGGGAAGCTGGGTGTGTCCCAGGGCTCCATAAGAGGATGCACACATTTGTGCCTGGGCACACTCAAGATTAGCTCCTGAGACTCCCAGAGTCCCGGAAAGAGGCTCTGACGGCACTGCCAGAAGCCTTTAACACCACGAAGCAAGGGTCAGAGGTACTGAGATGCAGGTGCTCAGTCTGCAGGTGTCATTTGTAACAGCGAACCAGTGAGGCCCAAGGTCATAGAGCAAACAGGAAAAATGTACACCGCCTCCGACTCTGGGGTCCCCCACTGGACAGCTAGCGCTCTGGGACAGGCCCTTAATACAGCCCCCTGGGCGGCATTTCTCTCCCCTACCAGATTGCAAGCTCCCGTGGGACAGGAAGTGCATCTTTGCCTCCCTGGCAGAGCCTAACCACAGTCTGGAGGGCGCTCAAGCATTACTGCTTGAATGAATGAATGAATGAATGACAACAATGAAGCTCCAGCTTGGCATTCGCAGCAACACTTCAAAACTGAATTCAAGAAAATTCCTAAAACATCTCCGTTCTTATATCCGCTGGGTCCGGGAAATACTGGAGACTTCAAGAACTCTTTGCATGCATTCTTAATGTCTGGAGCCCCGAAATGCGTCTCCTTTAAGGGAAATTTTTTAAATTTTTAATTGTAACTTATGAAATATATTCAACTGATATTTATGGGATATGCTATGCTATTTCAGCATGTGTATATAGTGTGTAAGGATAAAATCAGAGTAATTAACACTTCCAATTTCTTATCATTTCTTTATGTGTGAAGTCTTCAAGCTCACTTCATCTAGCTAGCTTGAAATCTACAATAGATTATTGTTAACTAGAGTCACCATACTATGCTACAGAACTTGTTCATCCTATCTAACTACAGTCTTTTAAAGATTTATTTATTTGAGAGTTACAGACAGAGAGAGGGAGAGACAGAGGGAGGGGACTTCCACCCACTGGTTCACTCTCCAAATGGCTGCAATGACTGGGGCTGGGCCAGGCTGAAGCCAAGAGCCAGGAGCCTCTTCTGGGTCTCTCACGTGGGTGCTGGGGCTCAAGGACTTGGGCCATCCTACACTACTTTCCCAGGCATGTTAGCAGGGAGCTGGATTAGAAGTGGAGCAGCTGGTACTGGAAACAGCACCCATGTGGGATGCCGGCATTGCAGGCGGAGGCTTAGCCTGCCACGCCACTGTGTCAGTCCCTCTAATTGTATTTTTATAACCAATCTCTAACCTCTTTCCCCTTGTCTCCCTTACCTTTCCCATCCTCTGAATCCACTGTTTTATTCTCTGCTTCTACAAGATCAGCTTTTCTAGCTTCCACAAATGAATGAGAACATACAGTACTCGTCTTTATGTGCCTGGCTTGCTTATTCCAATGAAATAAGAAACATTCTTCAGTAACTTGGAACTGAGTAGTCTATATGATTCATCCATTCTACTGTTGAGTACGCATCCAAAGGGAAGGGAATCAGAATGTCAGAGATTCTTGCACGTCCATATTTATTGCAGTATTATTCACAACAGCCATGATACAGAAATAACCTAGGTGTCCACATATGGATGAATGGATGAAGAAAATGTGGTAAATGCACCCAGCCTTAAAAAGGAAGGGAGTAAAAGAAAGACCTATTGAGCCAAGTCTTCTTTCAACCATGATTTTTCTCTGAGATAGAATCACATGAACACGTAGTGAAGGTAGGAGAAGGTAGGATGCCTGCGAGGGTGTTTCACGTACTGGAAAACTTTAGACTTGTGTTGAGTGGCTGGTGTAGAGGCCCAAGTCCCCCAGGTCCACATCCTTCTTCCGGAGCCCTTGTGGCCAGAGGGCAAAGGGTACTGGTCCTCAGCTGCCATGTTGGGCCTGCCTGGCTTCCAAGGGAGACAGACGTTCTTTACTGAGCTGCATTTCACTTACTTAAGCACACGCTCTCTGCACACATGGTCTTTATCTTTAGGAGATGACTCACACGCCTGGCCAGCATACTTTCCTATAGTGCATATCCCTATCAAGTTCAAAGCCACTGGGCTTCAGAGTGGGCTGGGCGGTATTACAACATTCTATTCCCCTTTCCTAGGAGCAATCAAATTTTGGAATTTACTCGCAAGATTCATTTCTTGGGAACTTCCCTACCTAAGATTTGGGTTTAAAGCCTAACTCTTCCATTTAACTAGTCTGTGGTCTTGAACTATGTGTTGTCTCTGTGCCTCGATTTAATTACTCATGAAAGGAGAGCCATACGACTGATCTCATAGGGTTACCAGGAAGAATAAATGAGGTAGTGGCGCTGAGAAAATTTGAAGCAAATATTTTTTGAATAAATGACTAAAACGATAATATAAATGTTAAAAATTACCAACCAATCTACAGGAAGAGTCTGAAATGAGGCTTACTATGTAGTGACTCCACCCTGTGATCAAGCAGTTCTGGGTTATTAAACACACATCACCTTATATTTAAGTGAAGGAATCGGGATGCAAACTTGGGGCCATCCAAGACCATACTAGTAACTTCTAACTACACTACCTCTTCTCTACATGTAGCAGACTCCCTTGTCACTAGAGACTGCCTTGTGAAGAATGAGCAAAGACTCCTGAAACACAAATGTAACTGAGGTTTCTATAGTTTCATAACTTACTGAACTTAATAGGAAAAATATTCCCATGGCATCTATCAGAACGAGCCATGATTTTGGTATCCGCACCAGGTAATTAATGTCAGTCATTGGAATCAAATACATAGCCATCTGTTATCGGTTCTTCTGAGCCTTAGGTTTATGCCTCAGAAGTAACCTCACAGAGAGTAGGGGCAACCACACCAGTTGCTCTGCTCCCTGTTTTCTGGTTGGTAAAAAAAACTGGAGCACACAGTGATGACTCTGTGTATTGAGCGAGGGGTAGCTCTCCACTGCTGTCTCTCTCTTGTTCTGGGGAGGACTTGACTTTTCTTGGGCACAGTATTTCCTCGAGTTCTGATTGTCCCTGATGACTTTGAACTCTCCCCTGACACTGTAAAAGGGGGTACAAGGATTTGCTCAGAACTGTGCCAGTGTGGTCGCCTGTGAAAGGTGGCCTCAGAAAGGTCGCAGCCCTTTGTCCTACGAATCAAGATAAAAATTATCATTTGCTATGAGGTTATTATATTCTTGGGACTGTGCTAAGCACTTCATGTCTTGTATTGAGGGCAGGCTAGTTTGTGCTATGGAACAAACAACCCTCAAACCTTAGGAGCTCGTAATAAGTTTACTTCTCTGTCTCATTAGATGCCCAGTGCAAGTGGCCTGGGACTCCACTCCAGCTTTTCTCACCCAATGACTTGGAGTAACAGAGCTGCCACCATGAACTGCATTCTGCTTGTCATGGAAAGAGGAGACGCAGCAGTGTCCTGCCCTGCCTGGTCAAGGCTTCTGCAGAGAGCAACACTGAACCCTTCTGCTGCCGCCTCACTGGCCAAAGCAAGTCACGTGGGTAAGCCTAAGTTCAAGCGGCTAGAGAAACGTGCTACCATGTGCCCCAGAGGAGCAGGGTGCAGATTTTCAGTGAACTGCCCAAATGCCCACCACGCTTATCCTGTCTTAAACCTCACAGCACCTCATTTTATAGATGGGGAAACTAGAAAAGGGGAGGGACTTAGTGTCATCTGGGTCTTGAAATGAACATAGAGGCCTAGAGCAGAGGGCACCTTTGGCCTTCTAGAGGGCACAGAGCAGAAGCGGGGCAGCATCCCAGTGACGTCATTCTTCTCTGCCACTGCGAGTGTCCCTGCCTCTCGAGTTCTCTGTATCAGTTCCAAGGTGTAGCGAAAACACACAGCTCCTGAACATCTGAACTTGACCTGTTCTGACTCCGCCACCCCTTGTGCTCAGATCAACTGTGGGGAGACAAACCTATGGGATCCCAGAAAGGAATTCTAGAAGGTCATCTCCAGCTACCTCATTTCATACACAAGAAGCGTCTTAGCCATTGTCCAGACACCCATGCCTTGATTTCTAATCCAGAATGCTTGGCCTGGTGGGACCTTGCTCCAATTACTTCCATGAAGGATGTCATATTTTATAAAAGGAGGAGGAAACAAGAGCTTATAGTCCCAGTGGGTAGAACACGATGCCTTGAACCACAGTGCAGCAGTTAGCAGGGACTAGACCAGAGTACAGAGTTCAGTATCCCCAGAGCCCGAGATGTCAGAGTTCTAGAATTCCTGCATACATTATCAAAAGTCTCCCTGAACTTTCTTCACTTTGCTATCTTGAGCTCTTAAGGAAAACACTGATTGCATGTTTTGAAATCCAGAAAGGGAAAGGGCTGCGGGACACTGAGACCAGTCACTCTGGCCCTGGCCGAAGTCTCGCTGGCACAGGCCCCAGTGATGAGCTTGCCTCTGCGGATTCCCAGCCGGCAAGCACCACCCGGGGTTATTTTCAGAGGTGGAAGCTCAAGCAGCAATTATCTCCTGTCACGGCAAATTAAAAGCCCAGGCTCACGCATCCCGGGAGCAGGGCGAGCGCAGGACCACAATGACAGGCTGTGGCTGGCGCATTTCCTTTATAGGCATGAGCCACTTACCAAACACACAGGACAAACAGAGACATAGAAGTCCAGGGAAGAGGCCCACAAGTGAGAGCAGGCATCTGTGCCAGCATCAGCATGTGGACTGTGATTCCACGGGGGACCAGGGCAGCAAACAGAGCTCGGAAGACGCTTTTCAGTATCTGTTAGAGTTACTGTGGAAGCTATTGTGTGTGCCGTGGCAGAAGGTGGGCGCTCTCTCTCTCTCCTCTCTCCTCACTTTCTCCCTTCCTCTCTCCCTCCCTCCTCCCTTCCTCCCTCCTTCTCTCCCTCCCTCTCTCCCTCTCACCCTCTCTCTTTTGGCTTTAAGAGCATCATGCCCTTGTACTCGCTACTTTCAGAATCTCCGTCTCTGCCTGGACTCTCACGGACCATTCCCTGGGTAGGGTAGCACTTTCTGAGCTTCTGCCTGGGAGGCCTCCTCTTTGCTATATTCTGTGCCAGCATCATTGCACAAACTCACCTCTTTCAAGAAGTCCTCCAGGACTGGTGCTTCTGACCTCCATCCCCTCCCCCTGCAGCTTCTTTATATGTGGATAGCTGTCTTTGCTACTTTAGGGCACTGAAGATTTGGGTTGTGTCCATTTATTGGAGTTTCTTTAGGGGCTTAGCTATTGTATAAGATCTGTGAGAGTAGAGATTTTAAATTTTTCCTTATATGAATGCCACACGTGTTTAACTTTCAGAAGGCGTTTTCATATCTGCCATCTAATTGTATATTCAGTGACACCTGTGGTGCAGGAGGGTGAGTAAAATCAATCATGGGGTAGATGGGGTCTACACGGTGGGGGGGGGGGCTATTAGCACAGGCTCTGACCTACATAGGCTTGTAGTCTGTCTGAGCCCCAGTTCTCTCACCTGTAAAACGGGGGATAAAAATAGTCCCTGCCCATAGGTGATTTTAAGGATGAAACAAGATAGCACAGGTAATATGCTTTACCTCACACAGAGTAACTGCCTGGTAAAATTGCCATTATTTGACCGACGGTGGAATGCAGGCTCGGAGATGTTAGTACACAAAGGGTGATGAGAAAAGCCAAAGGCTCACAGGCAGCAGATTCTGGTTCCATTTGCTGTGTAACTTTGGGAAAATCACTTTGCCTCTCGGGGTCTCAGTATCTTCATTTTAAAAATAGTAATCAGAATGTTATATGTTTGGGAGGAATAATTCAAAAGTACTTTTGAAAGCAGATTGCAAATTGAGACAGGACTCAAAAGCGTCCAGTTACCTAACCTGCCTACGTCCATGCAATAGGTCCTCATCGGGCCAGACCTCCTCACTCGTGTCCTCTCAGCAGCCTGGGCTTTCCTCCTGAGCACGCGTGGAGTCTGCACAAATGCTACTGGCAGAGTGATGGGGGAATGGATGGCCGCGTGCCACTGCTCTCCACATCCAGAATTAAGCAATGATGGCCCCAGCTGGCAGATTCTCCCTTTCTTGTCTCCATACTCAGGCATGTAGGAATTATGCAGAGAAAGCAGAGCTCAGAAGCCAGAGTCCATGTCTGCTGCCCCAAGTCCTTTGCTCCATGCCTGTCACTGGCCAGAGGACAAGAGGGGACAGTAGGAGAGGCTTCACTCAAATGGATCCTAGGACCTTAGTGGTGGTGGCCCTGGGACTGAGCCCGAGAAGGAAGGAAGGGAGGAAGTTTAGGATCTGTGCCACAAACTGCAGCCAGTGTGTGTTGATGTTCACTGGCATTTCCCCATTTTGCCTGTGGATTGACTTCTCTAAGTCGGTTTTTTTTTTTTTTTTTTTTTTTTTTTTGCCTGCTGAGAAAATCTGGTCGGGTATTCAGTACACGATGTCCCTTCAACCTTCTTCCCAGTCCATGAGCAACTCCAGAAAGGGGTCACTAAGTGTCCTGAAAGGGTACACCAGGGACCTCCCTGCTCAGAGAACAGTCTGCTTCAGGAGTTTTGCTTGGGTTGTGAGGGAGCTAAGGGGCACCTTGGCCCCTTCAGACCCAAATCCCTCTAAAATGTTCCAGCTGACACAGACCAGGCCTGGTTTAGGGGCACCAGATCAGGCTACACAGGAATGCCTTGTTTCTGCTCTCCCTGGCTCTGCATCTCTCTTCTGAGCATTACTTCCTCCAGAACAACTTAGAGGTCTGACAGCTGATCAGGTGATGACACCACCTGACCAGACGGATTTGTGGGGGTTAAGGACTAGGAGACTTGGTTCCAAATTTGACTTTGGAATCCTGGCATGATGATGAAATACTCCCAGGTGTCTCTATGAGACATCTATAGTCTTACCTTTATTGATAAAGATGAGGTGGCCATTAATGAGACTACGAACTTTGAGTGCCCTGGATGTCATATCTATTTCTCCCAAGAATGCCACCTATGAGAGCACTAGGTTTTCACAAATTCAGTTCACAATTTTATCTTTAGTCAAAATGACCCCCTAGATAATGTAGAATCAACCAAAGCTTAAAGGGGAGGGATGATACCATAAGTACTCTTCCTATTCCCTTTGGGAAACAATCTTAATATCTAAGCATATTACTACCATTTAATCATAGTCATATATCAGTTATCTATCCCCAACCAACAATATAACCTAAAATTTAGTAGCCAAAAGAAACAGCCACAGAGTTTTCATCGTTCTGTAATTTTGGTCAAGATCCAGCTGGGTACCCCCTCTGCAGGTCTCACCTGGGGTCAAGTTTGTTGTAGTTAGTTGACTGGTGATGGGTAGAGGAAGGGCCGGCTGGTCCTAAGCAGCCTCAGATGGCTGGAATGGCTTGAGTGACTGAGAACCCTCCACATGTGGCCATTCATCATCAAGGAGACCAGCCTGGGTTCCTTAAATGGGACTCACAGGGCATCAAGAAGTTGAGAGTAAATTCTCAAGGACCAGTGTCACTTCTGCTTCATTCTGTTGATGAAAGTCAGCCCAGACTCAAAGGGTAGAGGAAGCAGACCATGCCTGTCACTGGAAGAGAAGGCCAACTCTCACTGCAAAGCAGCATGCATGTAGGGATGGAAGACATTGCTGGGGCCATCCTTATAATTGATCACATTCACTGAAGCGTCATACTTACAAATTATTCCTTTCATGAAAGGGCTGGGATAAGTCATTTACATGGGGATATAGAAAAAACACTTATGCAGTGTCAACTGTGTGCAAGCACTGTGCACACACAGTCCTACTGGACTTTCAGAACACCCTGTGATGAGTCTTACCTACACTCTATTACTAAGACAGCTGAGGTTCAGGGAGAGTTAGTGACTTAGTCAGTGTCCCCCCATTATCAGGGATGGCGCTGAGAGTTTCCTCATCTTCAAAATGGGGATCATAAAACTTAACCACCAGCATAGTTGGGGGGATGGAATGAAATGCAGTAAGTGGAAGTGGCTAGTGAGCCTCAGAGCACAAGTTGGTTGTAGCTTTTATTGAGCCACGCAGACTTTGGGGGTGAGGGCTTTGTCTAGGAAGGCGCCAGAGCCATCTGAGCCAGACACCAACTGTTGTGTGTCTCTCAGCTGCTATTTGCTTTGGCTTCAGACCAAATATTTCACCCATTGCCTTTGTCAGTTAAAGAGCCCTGTGGGCCAAGCTGGCAAGTCAGGACATGCTACAGGTGAGGACAGGCACGCTGCAGGCTTGCCCCACAGGAGAACATCCACTGGAAGAAGGGAGACCAAACCAAGGCTCCCGCTGCCTTGGTGTCGTCCTCAACGGCTTCTGTAGTGGTCAGGGGGAGGAAGTACACGTTTTCTATTTGACTCAAGGTCTCATGCATCCTTGAATTGCTCTGAGCTTACTTTTCCCTCAACTCTTCTTTTCACTAACTTTCATCCCAATTCTTCCCACTTTGTCTTAATTAAATACCATTCCCTTATAGTGATCTCTTCCATGTCTTCAATTTATAAATCTAATGTTTTATCCACCTCATAGTCTGATCTCTGGATTATTTTCCTAGAGGGCAGGAGGTAGGGCCAACATTCTCCAGTCTTCTCTTTGCATGTCTACCATATACTCAGACATAAATTCTCTTCCTCCTTTGTGGTTCATGCTACTCAGATTCACCATGTACTCCCTATTCTACCTCATTGCTGTCATATACTAACCTCACATCAGTCACTGCCATCCTTAAGAATTCTAGTATCTCACCAACACCTACCTGCATCACCAACGCTAATTTCCACATTCATCCAACATTGTAGCTTCAGAGAGCCTTCATCTTTACAACCCCACTCCTTTTTATCCTTATAAAACATGGATAGAAGCTGAATATAAATAGTTCAAGATCTACCTGAAGAAGGGAAATCAGATATGTGCCATATAGCTGAAGGTGGCAGTACCAGCACCTGTGATAAGATATATTAAAGGATTGCAAGTTTCAGAGAACCTCCTAGCAGAACCATATACTACTGAAAAAGGGTACCTGGCAGGTTGATTAGTTTTACCTATAGGATGGGTTCACAAAAATGTCAAGGCAAATGACAAAAGAAACATCAAGCCTGGAGTCAGAAAACCTGATTTTTGAGTCTCTTCAGGTACTGACCAACTCATAGAAATTGGATAGGATTCAGCCTCTCCAAACCTGTTCTCTCATACTAAAGTATCAGGAATAGCAGTTTTACCATACTAGGTCTAGGTCACAGTAAAAAAAAGTGGAATAATTATAAACTGAAGGGAACTTAACAAATGAGCCCTAGAAAACCAAAGCATATGAGTATATAACATATAAATCCATTTTTTCAGTACGACAAAAATGAACAGAAAAGATACTAAAACTGCACAGTCTGGTTAAGATGGTAGGTTGAATGTGTGCACTAATTTTTACACTCTCTCAAACTCCTGGATTTTTTAAAGGTATAAAGAGTTTAAAGAAGAGACAAGGGCCTGTGCTCTGGCGCAGTAGGTTAATTCTCCTCCTGCAGCACCGGCATCCCATATGGGCGCCGGTTCTAGTTCTGACTGCCCCTCTTCCAATCTAGCTCTGTGCTGTTGCCTGGGAAAGCAGCAAAAGATGGCCCAAGTCCTTGGGCTCCTGCAACCACATGGGAGACTGGGAAGAAGCTCCTGGCTCCAGATCAGTGCAGCTCTGGCCATTGTGGCCATTTGGGGAGTGAACCAACGGAAGGAAGACCTTTCTCTCTGTCTCTCTCTCACTGTTTATAACTCTACCTCTCAAATAAATAAATAAAATCTTTAAAAAAGATTCTGTCCCAGCCGGCGCCGTGGCTCAATAGGCTAATCCTCCACCTTGCGGCGCCGGCACACCGGGTTCTAGTCCCGGTTGGGGCACCGGATTCTGTCCCGGTTGCCCCTCTTCCAGGCCAGCTCTCTGCTATGGCCAGGAGTGCAGTGGAGGATGGCCCAGGTGCTTGGGCCCTGCACCCCATGGGAGACCAGGAGAAGCACCTGGTTCCTGCCTTCGGATCAGCGCGGTGCGCCGGCCACAGGGCGCTGGCCACGGCAGCCATTGGAGAGTGAACCAATGGCAAAAGGAAGACCTTTCTCTCTGTCTCTCTCACTGTCCACTCTGTCAAAAAAAAAAAGAAAAAAGAAAAAAAAAAGAAAAAAAAACTTTAAAAAACAGAGACAAAATGGCAGCAATATGCAGAAATCATGTGGGAAGTGACAGTGAACCTGAGAATATGGATTATCATTTAAAAAATCATCTATTATTTTTCACTTTGTTTCTGTGTGGGAGCAAACTGTTGAAATCTTTACTAAATGTATGCTAAACTGATCTTCTGTATATAAAGAGAATCGAAAATGAATCCTCATGTGAATGGAAGGGGAGAGGGAGTGGGAAAGGGGAGGGTTGCGGGTGGGAGGGACGTTATGGGGGGGAAGCCATTGTAATCCATAAGCCGTACTTTGGAAATTTATATTCCTTAAATAAAAGTTAAAAAAAAAAAAAAAGAATATGGATTCCTTGGGAAGCACTGGAAAAGCAAAGAGAACCCAATTTCC